TCATAGATTGATTTGTATAGCATTGATATTTTCCACAATGTTAAGCCTCTTCTCCATCAACATGGAATACTCTTCCATTTATGTAGCTCTCTTTGTGTTTTTTTTGTAATAGTTATCGATATTTTTCTTTGTACAGGTCTATTGTTTCTCTGGTTTCGTTTATTCCTCTTTCATCTTTTGTGTGGCTATAAATGGCATTGCTTCCTTGATTTCTTTTTCAGAGCTCTCTGTGTTAGTTTACGGGAATTCAATTGATTTTGTGTGTTAATCTTGTATCTTGCCACATTGCCAAATATTTCGATTGTTTCCATTTTTTGTCATGTCTAAGTAGTTTACTACATACAAAATAATACCATCTGCAAATAATGAGAATTTCACTTCTTTGCCCAGTTATAGCCCTTTGATTTTCTTTTGTTGCCTAATGGTTTCTAAGACTTCCAATACAATGTTGAATTAGAATAGTGTTATGGGGTATCTTTGGTTCCCATTTTCAAGGGGAATGCTTTAAGTTTCCCTGATTAAATGAGATGTTGGTCATTAGATTTTCATATATGGCCTTTGCTCATTTGAGAAATTTCCTTTTTATTCATATTCTGTTGAATGTTTTCATTAAGAATGGATGTTGGATATTGTCTAATGCCTTTTCTGCCTCAATGGATGTGATCATGTGGTTCTTATTTTTTGTTTTGTTTATCTAGTGGATTACATTGATTGTTTTTCCAATTTTGATCCATATTCTTATAACTTCTATGAATCCTACTTGATTACTGTTTTATATATATATACAACACATATATATATGTATAATGTATATATTTGAATTTTATTGGGCAGAATTTGTTGAGAATTTTTGCATCTATGTTCATAGGTGGTATTATTTTGTAGTTTTCTATTATTATATCTTTGCCTAATTTTGGTACCAGGATTATGGTTGCCTCATAGAATGAGTTTGGGAGTTTGCTGTCCTTTTCTATAATCTGTAACAGTCTGTGTAGAATTAGTGTCAGTTCTTCTCTGAATACTTGGTACAATTCCGCAATGAAGACATCTTTTGTTGGTAGGAAGTTTTTTAATGACTTGCCCTGTTTCTTCTTTTGTTGTGGATTTGCTGAAGTGTTCTATGTCAGTCTATGCTAATTTGGGTAGATGGTTTGTTCCAGGCAATTTGTCCATTTCACCTAGGCTTTCAAATTTTTTGGAGTAAAGTCTTTTGTAATAATGTGTTATTATATTTACTTCAATTGATTCTTTGGATTTCACCTTTTTCATTTCTAATTTTTATATTTGCATCTTCTGTTTATTTTCCTTTGTTACGTTTCCTCTTGGTTTGTCAATTTTGTTAATTCTGCCAAAGACCAATGTTCTTATCTTGTTTATTTTTTTCTATTTTTCAGCTTTCCAATTCATTCATTTGTTTCTGCTCTAACATTTATTATTACACTCCTCCTAGTTGTTGAATGTTTATTTTGTTTCTCTTGTTTTAGTGGCTGAGAATTCTAGGTAAAGGCATTGTTAATTTTGTTTTTTCTTCTCTTTTACCATGTGTACATTGATTGCTATAAAATTCATTCAGATACCTCTTTTTGTTGTTTCCCTCAGATTTGGGTTTGTTTTGTCTTTTTCTCATTTGTTTTCAGGAATTAAAATTTTTGTTCTTTATTTCCTCTATTACTCCATCATTTTTCAGAAATGTGTTGTTCAGTTTCCAAGCATTTGAGGTTTTTCCCCTTGTTCTTTCTATTGTTGATTTCTAGTTTTATAGGATTGTGAGCTGAGAAAATGGAGTGTAAAATTTCAATATTTTAAAATGTATTAAGGCTTGCTTTGTGACCTAGCATGTGATCTATTCTAGACATTCCATGTGCACTGGAAAAGAATGTACAGTGCTGTTCTGTGGAGTTCTCTGTCAAGAAGATAGAGTTGATTGATTGTGTT